GGACCATATACAATACATTATTCATCAATCTAAAAAGAACTATTTCACCATGCAAAAAAACATTTAAGCATGCAAATGGTTCTATATAGAACCCATGGGTCTTTATAGAATCATTGTCTTTACTAATGAACCCTGGAAAAAACATCTTTTTAAGTGTGTCAAAATTTGACATAATACTTACAGAATCAGCCAAGTCCAAAAGCAAGACAATCCAAATGAGAATATTTAACATTTTAGATGCGTCCATAGCAAAATTCTAAGAAATTTAGGAATGAAACAGAGTTTGAGACATAAAAAACTTAATAATCTTATACGACAGTGCTTTCAGATCCTTTATTCCAGTTTGTGCAATGAAGATCCCCCAGAAGCCAGTGTGGTTCTACATGCCTCTTAAACCCTGTTGGAAATGGGAGTGATCTTTATAGAGCAACAGAGATGAACAGATACAGAAAGTCTCCAACAAGCAGCTCACAAACAAACCCAAAAGCAGGAAACCAGTCAATTTGAGCATTGTGGCTTCAGTTTTCCACAGGATGCACTGTAAAAAGTGGAACAAGTAGTTATCTGAGTTGAATTAAAGCAATTTATTTCTTGTTACTGCATGAAGTATTTTTTTTTTTACAGTGTATTAACTGAAGGATCATTTTTGTTTAAATTATCTTAGATCCTGTTTTAGATTATACACATTATATAAAACATTTTCTTAAATAGTTGTGACATTTCGTTGGGCAAAACAACAGACAAAGCAAAGAATTTCTTAAAAAAAACAAAAGACCTGGAATAGAAAAGTTAACTTTCCACATGCACACAGCCGGCTGGGGTTCAGAGAAGAATACCTGATTTGATACACACATAAAATGGAAATGTGAAAAATGTGTGTCAGGTACATTAGCATGTGGTGAAGCACAGCATTCATCAAACTGACCTCCGAGCAAAGAAAAAAAAACATAAAAAGAAAAGTGGTAAGGAACAAATATTCAGAGTAACAGATTAACCCTGTTGTAAGACTGTAATCCTGTTTACCTTTATTCCTCTGCTATGAACCAAACAAACTAGCCAAGTAAACTGTTATTACAAAATGCTGTCAAGTCAGTTCTGACTGCTAGCAACCATATGGATAGTGTTTCTCCAGAATGTCCTGTCTTCTATTTGGGCCTTTGGGCCTCTTAATGGCTCATTCATGATATCTCTGATTGCGTCCACTCATTTTGTTGATGGCCGTCCTCTTCTTCTTTTACTTTCAACTGTTCCATGTATAATTTTTTTTTTCTCCAAGGAACTGGTTCTTCTCCTAATATTTTAAAAAAGGGAACCTTTGGTTAACTGGGCTTTGAGTGAGAGGCTTGATTAGCTTGAGAGTCCATTTGCTTTCTTTGCCATCCAATGTACTCTTAAAAGTCCTTGCCCAAAGTTCAAAGGCATCCGTGCTTTTCCTGTCCCACTTTTTTACTGTCCAACTTTCACATTCGTAAAGAACCACTGAAAAAAACAGCCTGGATGATTCTGATCTTTGTTTGTAGAGACACAAAATTACATTTGAAGAGCTTTTCAAGCTCCTTCATTCTTGCTCTGCCGAGTGCCAATCTGTGTCTTATTTCTTGACAGCTGGATACTTTGTTGTTAATAACTGATCTAAGTAAGCAAAAGCTGTCCACACTTACTGAATTTTCCCCATCAGTGGTGAAGTTAGTGGTCTTTCCTGTTGTCAAAACCTTTGTTTTCTTCATTTTGAAGAACTTCTTCTTTAACAGTCAATATAAGGGCCTTCAGTTCTTCTGACATACCACTATGAGTGTGGTGTCATCTGTTTTTTTTTTTAAGGTTATTAATATTTATTCCACCAATCTTGAATCCTTCGTCATCTTTCTCCAGTCCTGCTTGTCTTATTATATATTCAGCATACAGGTTGAACAAGAATGGTGATAGTATGCAGCCTTGTATAACTCCTTTGCTGATGTGGAGCCAGACTGTCTGTCATGACTGTGGTGGCTTGGTGATCAGTGTGGAGTTCCTCATTAGAACAATGAGCACAGCTCTTGTATACCCATTTTCCTGAAGACAATTCATAATTTGATGTAATAAAGCATAAAAAGGCACAGGGGGTATTTCACAAAGCAGCATTTCTCAGTTAGCCAGATAACTTAAGCCCAAAGATGGGGACTGTCCAATAAAAATGTCCCTCAGCTCTTTTCCTATTGGACAGGCTTAATTTAGGCATAAGCTGAGAAATCCTGCTTTGTGAACAACCTTTCAAGGCTCTAAACCTAGGTAAAAATAACTGGAATTGCAAAGAATGACAAAGGAGCAAAGGATAAGGCTGTTACATACATGGAAAAAACTTCATTGAAGTTTCTGTTAGCATCAAAGATAAAGACAATTATATCAACTTCAGCAAATTTGTGCACAAATAACATTAATATCAACTAATATAATTTACAGCAGACGAAAATTGTATTTGTTAACACTTTACTGAAGGGCAGTGTTCATGAGGCTGTCTTAACTGAACAGATCAAATGCAAAAGATGGTCTCTGAACCCCCATGAACAAATTATGGTTGATCGTCACAGTGAAAATTAAACACATCATCTACGGAGAACACAAGTAAAAATGGTGGATTTCTGAACCTTTTTGTGCACACGTTCTATTTATTTGCTGAATTTTAGTGAGTAATCGTGCAATAAAGCATGCAGAAGTGTGTTCTCTATAGAAAGTGTGTACTTACTCACCAAAATTATTATGAACTGTTAGAGTACGTGCTCTTCTTTGTGAGTTTATTTCATGACATTATTAATGTCCTCGATAAGACTTTATTTTCTGAATTTCTTGGGGCTCCACTCAACCATGGGTGTTAAAGCAACACTATGTAGAATTTGGGGATTTGGAGAAGAAAATTTTGTAGCGTCGGTTGTGCTTTGGACCCCCCACGAGCGGATGAATCCTACTTTTGTGAGTGTGCTGAAGGTGTCTTCCAAGGATGTGAGTGAGTTATCCATTACTGTCATCAGATCTTCATCAGTCAGACCTTCTGTTAGAGCCTGTGCATGTGACATTATGTAAAGACGTACAACGTGGTTCGAAAAACTCCTGCCAAATTCATCCTGGTACCACTTTTAAATGATTATTTCAGGTTTTACAGGGTACACCATATTTTAATGTGTTTTTTTCTCCAAACTCAGTAATACTACTTCTTTCAGTTTTAGCAAAAATATTAAATAGTGCTGCTGAACAAAGGCATTGTAATAAGGCTGACAGCAGGTTTGGAGTCTCCTCCTTGCTTTAGGGCTATGTAACCCAATTTACATTTCAAACTGACTTGCTTAGTGTGGTTGATGACGTCTTTCTGGGATAATACGGTCAAGTGCCCTGCTAGCCAAAGTATGCAAAGTATCTGTCCTATCTGTCTTTGTATTGTGTTCAAGCATTTCCCAAACTGACTTGCTGTCAGAAGGTCTAAAGGTGAGGTGTTCTCTTCAAGGGCCAAATTGACCTTTATCTTTTTCCTACTATACATGAAATGACCATATGTTCTGTCAAGGGGACAGCAATCAAGAGAGATCAGCGCAACCTTTACATTAAGAAACTGGATTGGACTGAAACAGGAGTGGTTCATTTTGCTGTATATGAAACAGGCCTTTACTCTTATAATCTTATAGTGGTGTCATAGTATTATATTATTTTGAAAAAAGTGTAAATAAAAAAGTATAAATAAAAGGTATACAAAGTGTATATATATATATATATATATATATATATATATAAATATATATATATATATATATATATCCAAAATCCAAAATGATAACTTTACTTTACATTTAATGTAAGTCAATGGAGCCAGACTTTTTTCTCAAGTAATTTTGGGCCATTTCTTGTACAAAGGACAACAGGCATTTTCAAATTATGTCAAAAACTGGAAAACGTCAAAAATGGAGATACGAGGTTTTCTTCCAGCAACAGCTATATATATATATATATATATATAAATTTTTGTTTTATTTTTTCAAATATGTTAAACTAAGCAAAATAAAATTCACAGAACAATGCCACATTTAAGTTTGTCCTCAAATATATCCACAAAATACAACTGTGTTCACTTTAATATTAATATACTAAATTTTTGTAGTGTTTTTTTTTTTCCCTCATGGTCTACTATAAAACCAATTGCGGTTTTATATAAAACAAACACTAATAATATGACAATTTTTTAATTTCTCTTATCCCTTAAGACTAATATATGTAAATGCCCTCTGTTCTGATTGACTGCTCTGCATTTAAAAAAGCAGTCTGAACTGCAATGCTCCTTCAGTGTGAATGGGTGGAGCTAAAGTGCTATAGGCTGAACAGAAGGATATTTGTGGATGTGTTGGTTTTTGTGACAACACAAAAACAGTAAAATCAAAACGGGCTGTTTGTGAAAAGATTAGTTTCCATAAATAGACTTTATTAACTTGGAGTGTTTGTACATTTTGAAACTTTAACAATACTTACGTACAACATTAACATCCTTTTTTTTTAAAAGAAGCAAGGAAAACTCAGATTTCAAAATCATTGGCCATTTAAGTTAGATTTCTTAATGCTGCACTGCTGATTTTCATCTCCTCTTTAAAAAAAAGCTCTACTCTCTCTTGGTCAGCTGATGTGTGGGAGGACGAAGGTGTAATAAAACAGATGAGGAAGTGTGCAATAGGACTGGCAGTTCCTCATGCCCTCAGCCAAAAAGTGAGAAGAGTGACACGGCTTCTCTGCTGATTAAGCTGCAGCATGTATGACTTACACACTCTGTAAAGACTTGATGCATCACATTAGATAGAAATGAAAGTTTAAAAAAATCACATGCTTTGTTGCTTTTTTCTATTTTAGTGCTGGTGAAATATTGGATATGTCACAAATTTCTTGGGTTAAACGCACTTCCCACATAACACTAAATGAGGAACAGAAAAAGGGAACATTGTTTACAGCTGTCCAAGAAATAAAAACATTTATTTGGAAAAGGCAAAAAATCCTTATAATAAAAATTATAAAAATTAATTTATTACATTTTAATACAGTCAAGATCATACAGTCTGTTGTAATTTAATAAGTAATGCAACTCCTTTCCATTCACAAAACCAGTGGCTACTGTCACAGTGTGGTCACAAAATAAAATATTTACACTTGTATTACAAGATTTTTGGAGAAATAATAAAAGTTGCCATAAAAATGACATTTAATATTACTTGACGATATTTAAGAGGTAGAGCAATAGCCATCATGGTATTTAAAACAGCTTTTCATTTGTGGTGACACATCACATTGTGGTGATGAATCACCAAGGGTTACATGGATTTGGACAGGCTCTGATGTAAGACTCCAGTTTACCAGTTGAAACTTCCATTAGTGAAGTGTAGGTAGTCAGCTAGACAGTGATGGAAACAAAATGTCCACTATTAAAAGATCAAGCTTGAATTTTCAAAGAAAATCTTGGTTAGTTCTTACTAATGAGGGGAAATTAAAGAATTCTCACCTTGTTTAAAACAGGTTTTGTTGAAAGGACATCATATATTGTCTGCAATGTGATGTTCTGAAAAAACATACGTTTCATTGGTGAGTGCAGTACAGTATAACAGTAATGAATAACATTAAACAAGAACTATATGTTTTGAATACATATATTTGAGTGAAATCACTTACTGCTTGGGTGGTTTTATTCATGCATTTCATAGCCGGTGTCCGCCGGTCATCCAGAAAGAATGGCTCTTCCCAGTGATCATAGTTTGTTTCAAGGACGTACCATCTGCCAAGCTTCAAGGCAATCCTTCAATACCATAAAAATAATGTATATGATAAAATAATGTAGTGTAGATCATTTAAATGCTGACTCTTTAGTGTGATAACGTAAGCTTACTCCCAGATGTCCAGCGTGTTGATTCTAGTTCTGGTTATTACACAACCCTGACCTGTCTGGTTTCCGCCCAAGATGAAGTAGGCTGGGGCAAGTAGCTTGGTCTGAGCAAGCTGGTTTTTGGCATCTTCGTAACTGTTAAAAGACACCCATTTTTGGTTAGAAAGATTAATTTTGGTTTATAACATGAATTTCATCACTGTCACATTACATGCAGGAGGCAAGTTAACTCTGAAGTTGAAACAGAAGCTTTTCATACTGATAGAGGAAAGAAAATTGATTAGAACACCAAATACTAGGCTGCTAACTAGAGATGCAACAGAAAGAATGGAAGACTGACTCAACCTGGTTGCATTTTCCAGAACTCTGCGAGTGAGGAAGCTCATCCACATTCCATCTCTCTCGCCAAGAATCCATTCCAGGATTCCTGTGAGAAATTATATGATGTTATCTGTCTCTTCAACAAAGCAAGCACTGAGTGCCAATTGAGTGCCATTCTGAAGACCACAGTCAAAGTGAAGGTCTAGAAGTACTGTCCATCAGTAGCATGCAAAATACTGTACCTTCTTGTTATGCCTTACCTATGTACCCTCCATCAACGTTGAAGCGCTCATTCATTGTTAGAGTAAACTCTTTCTACAAGAAAATAAACGTTTCATTTTCTTCTGCTTCTATTAAAAAAAACAAAAACAAAACAGAGATGGGGTAATTTCATCTATCTAAGTCTTGAAACACTTACAGGTCTAATGCCAGTGAGCATTCCCACATATCCTGCAAAGTTGGTTGACTTGAAGACTGTTCTGTTATTTCGTTTGAAGTCAACATTCACAACAAGTGGCTTTAGCTTCTCAGTTATGGTCCAGGTTTGATTTGTTCGATCCCACCTTTCAGAAAAACACAAGGTGGTTCAAGTCCATTGTGAATTAAAATGCTAACACACAGACACAAAAAACCTCTATGATATACACAAACAAATTTTACCCCATAAACAATCCAAAGTCCATATTCCGTGCATGGTATATATTCCCTGAAAAAGAATGTGTAATTAGATTTATAGATAAATGCATCAAACTAAGTATGACTCACATGTGGACAAAGACTGCCACACAAACACTTCTCACCTTTTAAGTCTTCCACAACTACTGATGTGCACACAGTGAAAACCTCATAGAAGATATTAAACAGCACAACTTCTCCTAAAGGATTAAACACAAACAGAAATTTGTCTGCATTCCAGTCAAGAGTTTTAAAAGAGTAGCAATGCAATCTTAACATCTAAAAAAAAAAATTCTAAAGTATTCGTTTGGCATGTGCATGTAGGTAAGGCAACACAAAAAACAAAACATATATGCAATCAATATACAGGACAAATATATATGTAACACCTGCACATAGGCACCTTATTTATCATAAATCTCCAATGCTTCAACATAGCTGAAATTGAATGTCTATTTTCCAGAATTTCTGATAAGTCATTTTAATTTTTCATTATTTTATTTTAAAAATCATTCCTAATAAATGAGCAAACTCTACCCAATGGGACACCAGAGACAGCAGCAATTCCTTTAATTTCTTCATTAAAAGGGTAAGGGAGTGTGTCCACTATCAAAGGCTGCAATCAGAGCACAGAGAATCACAGCAATCCAATAAATACTAAAATAGTGATTGAACACTTGAATAATACATTTTTTTCTGGGAAGATATATGTGTCACAGAGTGCAACATTAACACTGAATCAATCTACTCACCAACTCATTGTCCACTAAATGAATCAGTTTTCCATGGAAAAAGCCACCAGCTAAATCTTTTATTGCTTGTATCATTGCTACCAGCTGAAAAACAAAGTTCACATCCAAATTACTATAAATTGCGTGCAATGTCATTTAGGGCAAAGAGAGTTCAGTTTTCTGTTCTTTGTTTCAGCTACCTCAGACGTACATTGTTCCCTATTTCACAATCACTCAATGAATCAATAAATCAACAAGTAAGTAAATAAAAGAAGAAAATTATGTCCCTTGATTTATGTTAAGGTGCCATACATCCAGCTCAGAAAAAACAGAAGGGACATTGTTTTCTTGTTGTATTTATTTGTTTTGTTGAATTATTGATTCATTGAGTGATTGTGAAACAGGGAACAATGCACTCCTGGTACTTACACTACTCATAATGTTTAATCTCAGGTCAGAAGGGCTTGTATTCTATGTGCTTTCAACTCATGAAATAAGTTGAATAACATGAATAACAGTTTATAAAGTTATATAAACCTATATTTATTTTGTGAAGGTACAAATGTGTGTCAAAATCTGCAATGAATATCAATAACATAAAATAGTTTTAAACCACAAAACACTTGTCAAACCCAACAAAAGACAGAAGTAGTATTGATTAGTGAGCACAGATTGCTTTTTTAAGTAGGGTTCAAGCACTGTGAACCACAGTGCCAGGATAAGATACATTTTGACAGACTCTTCGCATTAGACAATAGATATCACAGTGCTGTAAATTTGTTCAGAGCTTACTTCAGCTTTTTTCTCCTTTACCACATGAGTCCACCTCTCACTGGGGGGTAAATCAAGATTTAGGGTGTACCAGGTGACATTACCTTTAAACCTATAAGGAAATATAAAAACAGGACATATAGTCAGATTCCATGTCTCACATCATTAATGAACCATTACTTAACATGCTGGCATGGTATTCAATTTTCCCTTATAAAATATACATAAAGGGGTATGGCCTACGTTGGGCCCTTGGGAGGATACATGCTGTCTCGGCACTCTTCAGCAGACTGAAAATTAAAGAAATATGTAGTCTTCACGTACGGGCAACATCGCAAACTGTAGCCGGCTGGCCAGCCAATACATAAAACACATTAAACTATATGAGGTTCTCTTTAGTAATATCAGACAAAACGAGAAAAAAGACTTACCCCACAAGTAAGCTGTGAGGAAAGACAGATAAATGTTATGAAAATGTGACGAAGGCTTGACAGCTCCATCTCTCCAAGTCTCTGTTTTGATTCTGTGGCTCAAACGGGTTCCGAAGCGAGATCCCGGGTTGGACTGTACCACAGCTAATAGGGGTGGACAGAAAGGTCGGTTTTATTGTACCAACAATAAAACGGGATTTACGCTGTTGGTTAGATCTAAAGTATTTTATAAAAAGAACAGACGGGTTTTGGCATTCACAAGCAATTATTTTCGTCGTGATTGCCTTACAGAGTTCTTGTAAATTCTTACACTGACCCCTCGAAACGACAGTAATGCTTTTGTCCGATAGAAAACAAGGAAGTTAGTTCGTAACATTACAAAACTTAAACGAAAGTAACTCATCGAAACAATAATATTAGTAGACTAAACTATTTTATTCCCATATCTTTTGGAACGTGTTATTGAAATATTCTTTTAAAATAAATAATAAATAAATTTAAACAAATAAAACAATGTTCTCGCAGGGGCGCTGTGTGCTACCGCGCATGCGCTACATCATCCTGCATATCCTACGTATATGCGCATGAAGGGTTTCGTTCCAAAAGACGTTGTAGACCACTTTATCATTAAAAAAAAAGAAAAAAATCGTTATAGTTTGCTGGAACAATGTTTTAGATATACAAGAAATATTAATCTCTAATTATATTATGATGATTATTTTTATGAATAATGATTAATTGGCCCACCACATTTGTTACAGAAATAAAAAGGCATTTTCCAATATCCGAGAGAGAGAGTACTGCTAGCACTATCTAGTTATACTCATCGGCTAATAGTATTCAATTATTTCAATGCCAAAATATGTTATGTTGTTACATATATACAAGGACAAAAGAGGGTTACGCAGGTACTCAGGCCAGTAACACACTAAAACAGCTTTACCAGCACAAAATAGTATGGGGTGTTTCATACTATTTTTCATTGCAGTGTTCAGTATATAAACCTTCGAAATTCATTCCAGTGTTCAGTGTACAAACCTTCATTTTATATACCTTGTTTAATAAAAAAGGCCTTCACTTTGTTAGTAGCTTTACTGCTGCTATGACATAAAAAACACAGTTAGCGCCTCTATCAAGGCATGTTTGACATTTCTAGCCCAAACAAGGACAAGTACATATTCCTTACTTCTTTACTGCAATTATATATATATACACAAAGTGCACTTCAAGAATTTTTCACAGCTCAATTTCAAATCTATTTGGCTGTAAAATGTCTGTAGAATTGTAATTCAGAAACCCTTAAGGGGAGACCAGCTTTACCAGCCTGAAGCAAAATGTACATATGCTAACAAAGCTTCTCTCTCACACATACAGCACCACTGAAAAAGTTTGTTATTAGTGTAAATTAGCACAAAGCCTTTTTTGTTGCATATACATGTGTAAAATGATTCCAGTATGACGCAAGTATCCTTCATAGGCTTCAGATAATTTGTTGGAAGCTATAAAAACATTAAGATAGCCTATTTAAAATGTGTCCAGAATAATTAACAAAGCTGTAGATGATTTTTAGGAAACTGTTGTTCTTTTGATTTACTTTTGACAATAATTGTGTTGATTTGATATATTTTATTCATGTAAATCAGTGTACCATTGAATTCAGTAAATTCAAAGCACTACTTATTTCAGTCTGCTGAGATAATCATCTATTTTTTTTTTAATTTCTCATCAAAGTATCTGTCTCAAGATTTGATACACAAACACCTGGTATATCAGTATTGCTTATACTGTATAAGTATATATATTACAATATATCCATGTAAAAGGTAAGGAAAACTATTTAATACGTGGAATTAGTAGGAGTGTAGATAGATATACAGGTACATGTCTATGCAATTTGTCCTTTTGTCTGTCTGTCTCTATCAGTAGCAAAGGGCAGTTCTGAGGTCCTACTCTCTAACCTGATCTGGACATAATGCTTCAAAATACTAGATGAAGATGCTGTTGAGACAATTTCAGCACATTTAGGTTTGCTAAATATGGATAGCTTTGTAATCAATGCCAAAGCAAACCCTTGTTTTTGTTGTAATTCACAGTTCTACGTAAGTTAACCAAAACTGAATTTTAGTTTTGTTCCACCACAGCACTTTCCAAAGTTTTGCCAGACTTCAGATGTTTCAGTCTGCTTGTTATTGTTGAGAAGAGCTTTCCTCTCACAGCTCTTCCAAAGAGCTTTTGTATAGCAATGAAACAGTTTCAGGAACTCACAGTTCCTCAGCTCTGCCACCTTAGAATGTTTTTTTCCTCAGCATCTTCCTCAACGTTCAAGTTTTAGTTTTGTTCATTTCACTCATTTATTGCAAATTTTTAGTAGTAAATATATATATATATATATAATATATATATATATTATATATAATAAATTATATAAGTATTAATAACCTGCAAACAATATAAATGTACCCTCAAAGGTATAACATGGTCCTGAAGGTCCATTTGTGTACCTGGAATGAGTTTCAAAAGCCTATAATCTACATTTTTCTTGTATTTGTGTGGTTTCATGTAACAAAACAGTCATAATTCATTTATTCAGCCTTTAAGATCGATGTCTGTAAATGAGCTCTTTTCTGATTATTATATATTATATTATATTATTATTATTATTATTATATCTGCTGCATTATTCCAAAAAGTAGTAACATTCCTTATAAGTTGAACATAAGTGGGCAGGGCTAACTTGCTGAACAGGCAGACATGTAAATGAACTGGGATTTGTGGCAACATGAAAACAATTCATTTAGAACACATTGTGTCGACAGCTTATTTTCCAGATATGGACCACATGCATACTACATGCAACACTTTTATTTTAAAATTTCATTCCTATATCATTGTTTCAATAATATGGGCCCTTTAAAGGTACACACTTCTCATGGCCCAGACCTTTGCACACAACCTCACAATGAGTTAAGGGCATTCAATGTTACAATGTCATTGATAGATAGTAGAGAGACTGGACACGCTTTATGAAAGAAATCACTCCTTGGCTTGACAACCACAGCTTTAGTGAACACAGAGAATGCCTCTGGTGATGTGAAAAACAGTTTATAGTAATCAGTGCCATTCCACCTCTTGTTGTTATAGCCAGTAGGGGTCAGTATAAGCTTTTATGTGTAAAATTGGTTGGCAAGTGCCTGAAGGGATCAGTTCTTTTTCTTATTCAGGTTTAAAATGTTACAAATTAATATGTGAGATTTGTTGAACCTTCAGTGATGTAATTATTTCATTATTTGAATTAGTTCATTACATTCACATCATACATTTTTGAAAGAAACCACCCTCAGATTTGCAGGCACATCCAACACATGGAGTAACAGAAACCCTCTCCACACACAGTGGAGTCAATATGAGCTAGACTACCAGAATTCAACTGAACCTAGATTCATACACCAGATATCATTTACACTCATTTTTTTCATAGTTACTAATTTTCTTTAGGCATGGTGCAGGAAAACATGGTGAGCGAAGAAGAAAGTGAATAAGATGCCAGCATCACATGCAAGAAAACATGCAACCTTGTGCATAATAACGCCGACTTCAATAGCTTACATAGCTGTATGTCAACTGACTCAGCAGAACAGTTCAGTTCCAGCCAGCCAACTGTGTATATTAACACCAGACGCCTCATTTCCATAAAAGAAAAAAAAAAGAAGTTCAGTAGTCACATCAACCATAAGGTTTGTAAGATTTTGCAGTATGCTCAAAACAACCAAGGCTAATATCCATAAGACACACAGGTTATACAATTAAAACAGACTAGTTAAACAGTAAAATCTGATACAAAGAGACAGTGTAAATCAGAAATATAATAAAAAGAGAAATACAAATAAAAAATTGAATACATAGAGAAACCTACATATAGAAAATGTAAAAAAAGGTCAAGCGCATATAAACAAAACTTCTAAATACTGTTTCATCAACACTGTGGACAATAGTTACATATGTGCTGTTTCTGAACTGGTCCTGGCCTTGAGTATCTCACCTGGAAAAAGTTTAAACAAGGGTGAGCCGGCAGGGATGAGTCTTCTAGAATTATATGTATATGGGCAGCATACACTTGTGAGCGAGATGGCAGCTGACCTCCAATGACTGCAGAAGCTGTATAGACAATTTTGTCCTGCTGCTTTTCCTCCTGGACCATGATAGACATCTACACACAGTACTGTACATCCTTTACTTTCCAGTCAAAATGGCCATTATGCACAAGTTTCTGAGGAAATTAGATAAATAATAATCCACTTGCATACAGATGAGGAAAGAAATTAGAGAAAATGGGGCTCCTATCAACTGTGCTGGACCTGGTAGACCACCAAAACTGTCACTGTCAAAAAACTAACACTTAAAACTTTCATCTTTGACAGATTTGGAGAAAATCAAGCTTTACTTTTGCTTCAGATCTGAAAAAATCCACAGGGGTTTCTGTCCATCCTTCTACTGTGAGAAGACAACTCAGTCTGATGTGTAGCCGTCAAGAAGCTGTTACTGAGAAAATGAAAGACAAAAAAAAAGAGCCAATTTGCAAATCAAACACAGAAGCTGAAGAACAATGAACTGACCACCCCAGAGTGCAGACCTTAACATCGCTGAATGTGTCTGAGATTACTTGGATCGTGAGAAGCAGAAAATGCAAACTTCTAAGACTGAACTTTGGAGATTTCTTTGAAAAACTTTGACAGGAATATAAACAAATGAATGGTTGCTGCCTTTGCACAGTACAACACAATGAGTGCGTTAACATGCACTTAATAATCCAATAACTGCAGAAAGATTTTGTCAGTAATCTGATCAACGTGTTTCTATGCACTTGAGCAATCAGATAATGGGGAAACTCCAGGTCTACATGAGTCAGACAGCAATCAGATTTCTGCTATGCAACCAGCCAATAAACTCACAGAAAAAGACATGACGTAAACATAATGTAAAACTCAAACTTCATGCTGTGGCTTTTTTTGAAAAAACATTGCACCATTTTTACCTATAAATACGAACATACATCATTAAATATGTAATTGGTTTCAGCATCCCTCCGAAGGTGTTTTGTTGCCATCTCGCAGCAATGCTGCTTGCTTA